GAAGTATCTTCTGCTCAGAATTATCTGTGGTTTTACATTTCCTGCTGGGTGAGTATTCTACAATCCCGCCTATTGCGAACGCTAATCTACTTCGCGTAAGTGTACCTGCATTTCACAGCGATTCGCCACACACGTTTTCAGTGTGCCCCTAACAAACAGACTTCCGTCCTCACTGTTTCCTCGCGTTCATTCGTACAATTTGACTGCCGGTGGCCGTAAATCTTTCGAGTAGCCCTGGAAAAACATGGATTCAAGGAAGATACGGGGAAAGAGAGAGACGGAGAAAGTAGACTTCCAGGCTCCGAATTCTATTTGAGCCAATGGGAGGTAGGCGACCATTGAGAAACTCATCTTCCATGAAGTATCATCCGAATTAGAAAATACTTATTGCATGCCAGTTATACCAAGCGGGAAATAAGCCGTCATCAAACCAGTGGAGGGCAAAGAATGAACACTACTAGTGAAGGGAAGAAGGGTTTTGCTGTGATGTTGATTAGAGAAACACCAACTGAACCGTTGCAGACTATTGGAAAGGGGAGCAAAAGTCTCTTATGCATCCTGTTTACAAAAGTGAACATCCATCTTCTCCTTGAAAGCGTCTTCCTGAACTTTCTTGGATATTCGTTGACCGCTGCTCAAATGCAAGCAAATACTACAAAGTGACTTCACAAATTCCGTAGATCTCACTTTTAAAGAAACGCAAAACGGATTTATGATAGAACATACTACTCGCATGCTCCCATCAATAGTATCACCGTACACTAGCTAAACTATCGTTATGAATTGTCCTACGAATTCCGGTGCAGGAACCAAGTTTGATTAGGCTTTTAGAGTGCATATATTGCAGGAAGAAATCGTTATGGTAATGGGATCAGTTTAGAAGATCTACAGATTCGGATGCTGGTAGTATGAGAACAGCCGGAAACCTATTCCATAGAGGAGCCCAGGTAGCGTAGAGGTTCGTTGGCTTGTTCGCTAATTTTGGCAAGTGGATGACAAATGTTTCATCGCCGATCGAGGTTACATCATCAGTACGTTGTTAGGGAGCGTGGTGGTGCGTAGCAGTTGGTTGGTGTGTGTCAAATTGCTCAGCTCAGCAAACGAGCCAATAATCATTTGCGAATCAATTTGGTTTAAACGAGGGACTCAACTGAATGATGACATTCTTCAACTGAATGTGCTGCACACAGGCCGCCTCATGTTTCAGTTGGTACGATATTTGAGATATCGTGGTATATTTTCATAAAGGAAACAACTCACAATGTTGTTGAAAACTCTTCGGCAGCCCACGACCGGTTTCGCCCTTCCAGTTCGGGCTCATCAGGTAGGAAATCCGGTCCCACAAACTTGTCTGACCTTGACGCCACCCATGTGACTCCACGATCGATCGAACTGTGTACGTTCTTTCTTCAAAGAGTACGAGGTCTTCATTTTCATATGAAATTTATACGTGAGTTATGGTATCACACAGATTTGTGATGCAGTGACAAAGAGGATCAGTAACAGGAAACAAGCATTCATAAAGAAGACTACTCACAAGGTTGCTGAAAACCCTTCGAAAGCCCACGACAGCCAACGATCAATTCAAAACCTTTTTAACGTAGACTTCGTGCTGTGTCCGTCTATCCTGAACATCCCAGAAGCGAATTTATCCATATGTGGGATTACCACACTACGTATCCCACAAGGGCCGGGGAGTTTTGAGGCCAGGAACTTCGATTAGACTCCGAGTGAATATTTCTTGTTGACGCTGAAGATCAGCCGCTCTTAACCGAATACTTGACGGAAGATCTCACAATCGAAACTCTGTAGGGTTCCGTGAGCTACGCACTGCTGGTGATTCCCAATAAGAATGAACAGGCCGTATGGTGCTTCTGGGAGTCACTTACAGGGAACCTCTGTTCCGTTTTTTTCTTGGTGGCGAATCGAGGCTTAAAACATGCCCAAAGAAATGACCCCAAGCGGGGAACGCTGCTCACACTCTGTTCACCTGCAATTGTGCACCACACGAACAGAGATATTGTTCAGTGACTGGCCCTAGAATAATTTCGAGCACGTTCGGATTGACAATGAGAGAAGTTGTTGACGCTCATGACATTCCAGGTAACCCATGGGCAATTAAACCTACGCAGTATTGGACACAAACGGTAGGCACAATGGCCACCAAAATAGGGTAGTTCGGTTGAGCAAGTTGGAAAGTAGTTCAGTTTGTTGTCACAGGCACAGGTGCTACCCTGAACCACGGTTATTCATAGTGGAATCAGCTTTACGAATCGCAACGACCAACGGTACGTATATGTGCATTTTCGACGGGGCTTATCCTGAGTGTCAGGATGAAACAAGCCAGGATTACAACCTTAAGCCCATCCAATTCCGTGCATTTCTACGTTTGTCCGGGCCAATCAGAAAATCACTTGGATTCTTAACCTGACGAGCGAAGGTGTTGTTGTGGATTAGTTAGTTAGTAGTTAGTTAGTTAGTTAGTTAGTTAGTTAGTTAGTTAGTTAGTTAGTTAGTTAGTTAGTTAGTTAGTTAGTTAGTTAGTTTAGTTAGTAGTTAGTTAGTTAATTAGTTAGTTACTTAGTTAGCTCGTTAGTTAGTTAGTTAGTTAGTTAGTTAGTTAGTTAGTTAGTTTAGTTGTTAGTTAGTTAGTTAGTTAGTTAGTTAGTTAGTTAGTTAGTTAGTTAGTTAGTTAGTTAGTTAGTTAGTTAGTTAGTTAGTTAGTTAGTTAGTTAGTTAGTTAGTTAGTTAGTTAGTTAGTTAGTTAGTTAGTTAGTTAGTCAGTCAGTCAGTCAGTCAGTCAGTAAGGTGATCAAAATCCCTTGGTCATTTTCATTGACCGATGCCTAGCTGAGGTTTTCTTATTCCCAAAACCCTCACACGCATGACGGATGTTTAGCTTCCATCACGGATGAGATCAGTGCCCCAAAATTGAACTGATTTTCATCTGGCGATCGGGTAGATATTGATCCATGTATCACCATTAAAATGTTAGAATTAGGAATACGCATCCACTGTCAAATTGCGTATAATTTATCACCGTTAAGACAGCTATCTTACAGTAGTCCCGAACTGCTTATCTACCTGCAGTCGTGTAAATGTCACATCAAGTTGTACGGAACCTTCTGGTCTGTTGCCCTTTACAACCGTTTGTATTGTGAGTGCAAATCTGTCTGCCCGGTGGGCTATATATCTTTTTGGATATATTAGCTTATGTTTATGTCTCAAAATGTCTTCAGATTACGAACTGAATACTCGCATATATGAGTAGTTCGATTGGAAATATCGTAAAGCTGAACTCTAGTTTATGAAAACTGTTCAATCACGGAAGTACTTTTTTGGGACCGTTTTCGTTTCGAGCGATGTCCAACCGACTGCAAAAAACGGACATTCGATATTCTTTCTACACATTGTACCGTTTGAGGTGCTCGAAATGTCCGGCAGGTTCTGGCTGATCGCCTTTCCCCTATCACTGCAAAGCTGCATACTACTGATGAGGCGTGCGAGTAGCCTCTGGTCGTGTCGAAGCTCCACCTCGCGTCTGATGGAAGGTGAGGCTTACTATGGAACTTGTGGAACTTATTTTCAGTGTTCGCTTACAATTGTGTAATAGTGAGTGTACATGCATGAAAGCTCAGTAAGACGCGTTAGAATGTTCAGCTTTTAAAAACGATATGAGACGTTTAGTTTCCTTCCCAATAGCTTGTAACAACTTGGTTGATGTTTGTTAATAAATGACTTCGAAGCGGACGGCTTCACTACTTCAACCAGTGGGGAGTACAACAGAATTATGAGTGCCTTGAATCATCTTCACCAGGGTCACTACGGCACAAACGCGAATTTTAGCTCACGGAATTTCGGAACTGTCGGACACCGTAGCTTGGCCGTTCAACTCATACTGGATAGCTTGATCAACTCTTGGGTAAACTACTCATCTTCAACTGACCCTTCTAGGATCAGTCTGTATCAACCCGAAATTGATCGCTACTGCAGGTGATGGCTATTTCTCAGTAATCGCTTTTATCGCCTGGCTTCGACCCTAGCCCTAATATGAGAATATGAGTTTTAGCCTTTCCCGACTTCACATGCGCTCAGTTCAACTGTTCTCCATTAAGTTCAGATATGGTTTTTCGCTCCAACCTTCGGTTGCAAGTTATTTTCCTTCATTTCTGTTGAAGGTTCAGTTAAAAAAATTCATTAATGTGGCAATTAGGGTAGTGTGTAGGCGCTGTAAAGTCAGCTATGTATGCTCCATCCACTCGAACTACCGGTCACGTCTGATCGAACGAAAATGTCATCATAGGGACGTCCATCGCCGGTTCCTTTTGTTGTAAGGGTGATTCTACTGATAGGAGTGGCATGCGAGTAGCACGTTTTCCCATAAATTCGTTTTGCGTCTCTTGAAACGTGGGATCCATTACGAAATTTGTGTAGTCGCTTTGTAGCATTTGCTTTCATTTGAGTAACAGTCAATGAATATCCAGGAAAGTTCAAAAAAGCCGCTTTCAGAGAGAAGATGGACATTCAGTTTTTCAAACAAAATGCAAACGACAGTTTTGCTTCCCTGTCCACTAGTCTGTAACTGTTCAGTTGACATTTTCTAATAAATGACTCCGCAGCGAAGGCTTTCCTCCTTTCACCCTGTAGATACCTGTGTTCTACTTATAAGCAAAATGAAATCAGCTTAGGCGACTCGGAGAAGCTCTAAATGCTTTTCATTTTGCACTTACATCTTATGTGCCATGCGGCCGGTCTGTAGTCGGTAGGCTTGAAATGTGATGCAGGTTCGTAATTCTGCTTCGATCTTCATGCGCACCGCCCTACAAAAAGTAAAATCGCGTTTTTCCAAAGGTTTCGCAGTTGGGCGGCCGGCTAATAAGCCATGTTTGTTTGAAACCCCTATGTGCCCTTTATAGAATGATATGCAGTGAGTCATATCTTAGGAAACGGTGTCAAGTAGATCAGGTGACGGATATTTTCAAGACATGAGTGGAACTTCCATGTGACCAATCGTCACTCGAGGAACAAGATCACGTGATGTGGTTTACATGATTGAAGGATGGATGTCCTGTCTAAGTGTGACGCTAATCAACCGCTCGTGATTGGTCAGTTAGGCGTTCTACTCCTGATCAGAAGACCACAAGTTCCATGAAATGCACACCATCGATGACTTCCAATCGGAATCAAATAGTTTTACAATGCTTCTTGCTTTATTTTCAGCATAGATTGACTTCACTTACAAGACAAATTCTTAGTTTACAAATATCAAATCTTCTCACGCTAACACGAGAGTGGTCTTACTTGCGGACTGATCATAAGTAGAGATATTCTACTGTCTGGCTACTTTCAGTGTGTGTACTGGTCGTGTTTATTGCTTGCTGGAATTTACCACCAAGAGGAAAGATGTGAGTTGCGTATGTGAAAGTATTCAGAGGGGGGACTTCGAAAAGACGAACGTGTGAACTAAATGAAACTTAAAGTCGCCTAGGCATGATGCGACCTTGATCACCGCGCTGCTGTTATAGTGTGATGATAATGGCAAGAACGATGATACCGGTTCTGATGAAAAAATCTACAGGATTACCGGAAGGGAGAGAGTCCCCGGACCGTTTCATTGTGAGTAGCAATTATAGTTTCTCAGAGTGCTGGTGACCAGATATTACCCGACTCGTCGAACGACGACCCAGTAACTGTCCTGGTTGTGACGATCGAGTCGGGCACACCAATCACATCGCTCAATTGTGAACACGTTCGCCTGTTCAGACGTGATAATTCAGATGCGTCCAACGTGTGTGGGTGGAGTAGTGGTTACACACTCGCCTCGCATGTCAGATGTCCGGGGTTCAAATCCCGGCACGGCCATTGGATATGCACCGCTGATGAGAGCGAAACTCGAGTCCAGTGCTTCCCTTTGGTGTGGACTCATCGGAATAATTACGCCAGAACAGGAACACGGCCGTTCAAACGAGAGTGGTGTGGCTATGAACAAACATACCTATCCCACAAAACCCCAAAATTGCAACCAAAAATCTGCCCAGTGAAGTTTCAAGCGTGTGCCAGGCTACCTGACTGGGAAGTCCTACCAGATATTACCCGGACAAAAATGCCGCTGAAGAAAAAAACAACCATCCGAGTATAAAATGGCAAGCTATCACATACGATTAACCTTTCGCACGTACATGGGAAGCTTTCGTCAATGAATGAAACGTTGACCTTTACAGAAAGTAATCTGGATGGCGCTGTGCC